AGACAATACAGAGTTACAAACAAAGTGGTAGGGAATTAACAATGGTGGTTGTATTACATATTGATATCTTCAAAGTGGCTTCTCATGAAAACAGATATAAACACAGTCGCATAAATCTTGAAAATGATTCAACTTTGAGGTTCACTTTAAAAAGGAGCTTGGCTTGGAAGCCCTGCTCACAGGACCGTGTCTGCCCAGGGCTGCCACCGGAGCTCAGGGCCTGGAGCTTCAGAAGTTACACTGAACTACAGCTTCAAACCGTGGTGTGGCAAGGCTTAAAAACTTCTCTTTCTGCGATGTTATTCTCTTTGATTTAGCGTTCCTTCCGAGTGGCAGATACTACTGTTTATACTAATAGTGAAAGAATCCAGGTTCAGGGAGGAGAGGGCACCCATCGGCTGGAGAGCAGCCGAGGGGGCAAGATGCTGGGGCCCGGACGCAAGCGCGGCGGGAAGGAGCAGGGTCAGGGCCGCGCCCGCTGCGCTCACTCTCACCCTGGCCTGCAGGTGGTTAGGGGTGCGCGTCAGAGGAGCGGCTCTTCAGCGAGCTGTTTTTCCGCTACAAGCGGTTCATCCGACCAGCGGAGAACGTGTCTGACCCAGTCACTGTGCACTTCGAGGCGGCCATCACGCAGCTGGCCAACGTGGTGAGTGCGCAGCGCGAGCCCCCTGCAGGGGCGCCAACCCCAGAGCCAAGGCAGTCCCCGCTGTCCCTGCTGTCCCTGCTGTCGCACTGAGTGCATGTGGTCAACACGGGATTGCACGCCCAGGCACGCACATGCACGCCACCCCATGGAGAGCACCCAGAGCGCATTCTGGTCGAGGCGGGCACCTATGGGCTCTCTGGGCGCCTTTGCTGCCCATCGTCCTCTTGTCCTCCCTCCTATAAGACTGGGAGCCCAAGGTCTGTATCCACTCCACAGGGAGGGCTGAGACAGAGGTTGAAAGCAGGGCATCAACTCCATAAAAAGATAGTTGCTTTAAGTCTTCCATACTATCTAGGAAGAAAATTTACTTTCTTTCATATATGGCTCCATCCAGCCTTGGGAAAACAAAGTCAGAAATTTAAAATCCTTTCACCCTCATATGGAGGATTGAACGCAGGGCCTTTGCTCTGAGCTGCATCCCCAGCCCTTTTTTATTTTTTTTATTTTGAGGCAGGGTCTCACTAAGTCATTAATCTGCCCAGGTTGGGCTTGAATTTGGGATCCTCCTGCTTCAACCTCTCAGAATGCCACCACTGGACAGATGCGAATGATCAGAGTGACTGTCTGCGGAGGGGGAGGGGACCTCTCTCACAGGTGTGACATCAGGCTACACCAGATCCTCTAGTCCTTGCTGCCCACTGGACATGGCTGACCTGGCTTGATCCTCAGATCCCAGTCCAGATGTCTACACACTGCTAGATACTGGTTCTAAAAAGCCACATGTTTTCCTTTGCCTCCCTGGGCCATCCATCCCAGTAAAAACCTGATTCCCCTTCCATCTCCCAAAAGCTTAGTCTGGTCCCTGGCTTTGTCCTGGTGGGAAGCCACACTTGCTGTGGGTTGGGCTCCTGGAAAGTCCCAGTTCTTAGGACTCCTTTGTGCAGTGATATGCAAATTCCTGGTTGCCAGGCTTTCAGCGCATTGTTCTCAAGATGGTGGGTAGGGGGTTGCTGGAGACAGCTTTTTAAAGTTTACATTTGGCTGCTAATGTCAGAGATTGTTTGGAAAGCACAGTTTAAATAAAACAAGTTTATTTCTTTCTTATGTAGTGAAATCTAGTGGTTCACAGGCCAGCAGGTTAGCACCAGTAAGCTCCCGGGATTAGCAAGTGAAGCGCTGTTCAGCTGCCCAGGTTATACACTATACAACTACAGAGGATGTCACCTGCATGGACTCTGATGCTGAAAGCATAAAACCAGACATGGCAACAGTGAACAAGACCCCTTCTGTTTCTGTCTCACCATCCTGTGCATGTGATTTCATCCCCAGTGTTTCCTCCTGGTCCAAGACAGCTGCTGTGTTTTCTCTCATCATATTCATGTTCACGGTCTTGGCAAGAAGGCAGGGAGAAAAGGGTAGAAGGGGCATATTGCAGACACATGTGTCTTCTGTAAGGACCTTTCTTGAATCTTCCTGATAAATTCTGCTATTTCCTTACCCCTTCCAAACTGTAAGAGAGATTTTAAAATTGAAATTTAATGTACTGAAATAATTACAGATTCAAATCAGCTCTGTAGTTGTAAGGAACAGTAGAGGAAGCCCTTGTACACTTTCTCTAGTTTTCCCACTATGGTCTCCTCCATCTCTAAAATGTTAATTCAAGAACATGAAACATAAGTAGGATGTGTAGTCTTGTGGAATCAGTTTTTTCACTCAACATAGTTCCTCCATCACTCACTGTTGGTGAGTACAGTTTAACCTTCTACTTGTTGAAGAATATTTGAGCTGATTCTAGTGACTGATCTGTTGCAGGTAAGGCTGCTGTGAACATTTGAGTGCATGTACGCAGTCTTCCCTTTTCTGGGACAGATGGCCGGGAGTGCAATTGCTGGACCACATGGCCCTCACTAGCTGATTTCCACTGCCTGAATGCAGTGCCCTAGTTCAGAGTGGGAGCAGGCTTGGGAAGCTACCTCTGAGACCCTTTTGGAACCAAGGCTGCAGATCTAGTCCACCTCTGCCCATCAGTCCTTTATTGTCATGACTCCTGCTGGACTGCAGATGGTGTGACTGGTATGACCAGAGGCACTGCCCTTAGGCTTGGCTGACTGGAAAGCTGTGCTAACCCTTTCTGGTCCAGTGGACAAGGACAGCCCATTTCTTCATTCTCTGGATCAAGAGAGAAGCTGTGAATATAGCTTCTTTGGCTAGCATTCTTCACCCTGTCCACCTTGGCTTAGCATCACCCCTTGGAAGGTTAAGATGTCTGTGCAGAGTTCTCTAGGAAAGGCAGCAGCAAGCAGAAGGCTCTGAGTGAGTGGCATGAGCTGGACCTGACCTGCCAGACTGCACTCAAGTCCCTTTAGTCTGGAGCATGCTGGGGCATCTTGGAGCCAGGGCTGGCTGAACAAGTATGGAATCCACTGCTGCTGGCCACTGAGGGTAACTGCAAGACCTCCTGGTCACTTTATCAGCAGCCTCCATGCTGGTGTTGCAAAGCTGCTTCGATGCACCTTCAGGGGCCTTCCCACTTGGAGCTGGTAACTACTGAGCATTCATTATCCCAGGGATGTTGACTTAGAGTGCATTACCCTCAGACAGTTATGTCTACCCTACTCAGGTATCTGGTAGACATATTGCCATGTGTGTGTGCCACTCCATGCCTCTTTAACTGCCTTCATAAGACATATATCTATCTTACATTGTATTATATATATGTACAGGTATGTGTATAACATTAAGTGTATATCTCGCCCAGCTAACAGCTAAAACACACAAAGGGAGGCACTCTTCCCATCCTGTAGTGGCTACATAATAAGAATTTGCATCACAAATGCTGGAAGTGGTGAGTCGGGTGGGAGCAGGGGATGTGTGGTGGATGAACAGTAGATTCCATCCAGCAAACTGCAGTGGGGAGCAGAGGCAACAGTTTCAGGTTAGCACCTGGGGCAGGTGGGCTTAGAGCCAAGGAATCCTGAGGCACAGCTGGGGAGGAAAGATTTTAGAACCAGTTTTTATACATATATAGAACATGTTTTGATCACATCCATGCCCCAGTCCTCCTTATTTCTTATTTCTCCTCCTTATTTCTTTTCTTAACACACATTTCCATCCAGAGTCCACAGGATTGGGACCACATATGGAAATATTGTGTTCCTGGTTGCATGACCAATACTTTTTGTACTTTTCAGTCTTCTTGCCTCCCTTACTGGCATGAGTAATGTAGAGTTGTCTCTTGTTCACTGTCATTTTCACTGTAGGACCTGTCTCTATTAGCAAGTACATTTAAGCCTAAAGATATTATTTCTTTTTCCCCAGGATGAAGTAAATCAGATCATAGAAACCAATTTGTGGCTGCATCACATATGTGTCTCTATCTTGTGTCTCTCTCCTTGATGCTGGTGCTCAAGGGTATATGCAATATTGTTAGGCAGATGGAATCCACTAATGTCACCTCCTTCCACCTAAAACTTGTGATAAGTGCAAAATATGACCTGCTAAGTCAGGCATAGTGGTGCCTGCTTGTAACCCCAGCACTCGGGAGGCTAAGGCAGGAGGATCACTGCAAGTTCAAGGCCAGTTTGGGCTACAAAGTGAGTTCAAGGCCAGTCTGAACTGCATAGTGAAACCCTGTCTCAAAAAGAAGAAAGAAAAAGAAGAAAGAAAGAAAGAAAGAAAGAAAGA